GGATGAGGAAGGTGGGGGCTGCTGATAGGCTGTTGACTGAAAGGGTGCAAAACCACAGCTGGGTCCAGAGGTTAGGAAGCTGCTGCTGCTGCCCCAGCTTCTCCCCTCACCCATAAAGCTGGTGGCTAGACCGTGGGACACTGAGCCCAGCTATGGCAACATCCAAGTCTCTGTAACCTTGCTTTCCAGGCAGGGGAGGGCCTGCGCCTCCTTTCTGCCATCTGAATCTCCCATGCATGCATCTGATTGGTGGAGCCTGACTTGCCTCCAAAACCGTAGCTGCAAGTGCATCTGGGAAATGTAGGCAGCCTCTCAGCCTTGCAGTACCGGCAGGTATGCAGAAGGGGGGTGGATTCCAAGTGCCACCCGACCACACCCTCCACAGTCCCCACTTGGCTGTTGCCGCTAATGCGCCATATGCTCAGGGCACTGACGTGAACACAAGTGTTCTTGCTGGGTGACTTGAGCTCACTGCAGCTGCTGTCTTCTGGGGTATTTTTGATACTTGTTTTCAGTCTGGGAAGTCAAGTTTCAGATTGGAAAAGTCTGATAAGGGTTGCTAACAGAGACAATAGTTTTCTTGTGTAGCTCAATGATTCAAAAAGGCAATCGAGAGTTGGTTCGTGGACAGCTAGAGCTAGAAGAAACTAGTGTGCAGCTGCCCATGTCCTCCTATTTCTCAGATGGGGAAACTGAGCCTCCAGAAGGAGCCCAGGTCACCTGGGCAGAGCTGAGACTTAAGCCTGTGGGCCTGCATTTCCGCACGTCGTCATCTGATACAGCCTGGAGCGAGAGGCCTGCCCTCCCGTCTTGACTCCTCTGCCTGCTAGCTCTGTGATCTTGGATAAATCACCTCCTCTCCTGCGAGATGGATTTAATAACAGTGCCCACATCAGGAGGCTCTGGGGAAGAAGGCACGAGATAATAGATGGAAAATGCTGCTAAGTACTTGCAGTTCCCGAACATCATGAGCATTCAATGAATGTTAGCTATTGCTATTTTTATGAGTTTTTTTTTCCAAGAAAGTTTCTAAGATCTTATTTAGACACTGTCACATTGCCCCCAGAGAGGCTGGTTTCCACGAAATGATAAAACAAAGCAAAACAAAGTAAAACAATGCAGCAGTCTGGGGAGGAAGGAGTTTAGCTCTGAGAAGACGGGTTGGCCTCACCTGTAGCTGCAATGCACGGCTGCCTTGATGGGGTCCTTTGGGAGAAGCCACCAAGTGACCCATTTCCAGCGTCCCTCCGACTCTGTTTCAGTGATGCATTTCAGCATTTGATAGTTGCTTCTTCAGGCCTCAGGTGCATTTCCCCCTCCCCCAGGTTTAAAATGGAAATACTTAAAGAAACACCCAGTAATGCTGGGGCTCCTACACCCCCACAGGTCCCCTCTAGCCAGGTCTGTGCCGGGAGCTTTGTTGGACACACGATGTCTGATTTTCACTGCGAGTCCACTGGTGGAGACTAGCTGGCAGCCGGGTGAGCTCCAGGGCTTAAGAGAATGAGAGATGGTGGCACTGAGGCAGGCCTGGGGGGAGAGCAGGACGCAGCCTGCTAGGTGCCAGGCTTGCATGTCTCTGTTAGTTCAACGACCCGTCTCGGCAGTTCTGAGAGATGGGACGTCATTCCTATCTTGCAGATGAGGAGGTCGAGGCTTAGAGAAATATTAATAATTTGCCTAGGTCCTAATCCTGGTAATTGCTGGCCCCAGGATTTGAACTGAGAACATCCAGTCTCCAAAATGATTTCTTTCTTCATGCCTCCTTCTGTCTTATAAGAAAGTGGATAATAGCAGGGTGAATTGGATGATCCCCAGTATATATTTGTGACGTCATTATTCTGTGAAGATGAGGACTTGGAGAGGCATAATAGTCACAGAAGAGTAACTGTGTCCGGTTTCTGCTGATCAAAGCTTTGCCAGGAGGCTTGGTCCACATGGTCCCAGGATTCACTCGCTCACCTGTGCACTCAGCTCTTCACTACACGTAAGCACCTACTGTTGGAGAGTTTGCTAGTTTCCATCTACCGCTGCTGAAAGATTATATTTCCCAGCCTCTTTTTTAGATGTATCCAAGTGACTAACTTCTGCCCAATGACGTCTGAACAGATTGTGTGAAGGAAGAGTGCAGGAATGCCTCTTCTTAAAGGGAGCTCATTCAATATGATCACCCTCCCTCACATCCTCCTTCCTGCCCCTGCGCATGATGGCTGGAATCCCAGCAGCCACTATGGACAGTGAGGTAGATTTGCAAATAGAAGCCACACTAAGAATGGTGGGAAAAATGATAGAAGACATTTGGGTCCTTGTTGCCTGTTTCTTGAGAGGAATGAACATCTTTCTTGTTGAAACTACTCTTATTTCTGGGGTTTGGTGATATGTAGTCACACTTCAGCTTAATGGATATATCTACTACGTGGAGAGAACTGATGTAGATAGCATGCGGCATACAGCATGAATCTGTTGCAGAAAGTCTGTATTCAGAAAGCTCCTTGTCTAGTGGAAGAGATGAAACAAGGGCACAAGGCATGAGAGCAGACAGAAGTCAGCGATTGCTGTGAGCATCTGGCGGTGTGAGCAACTACCTGAGGCTGCAGGGACCAGGGAAGTCCTCTTACAGAAAGATGTATCAGGTCTTAATAAGCAAGGGGCAAGTGACCTGCCGGCAGAAGGAACCCCACGGGCAGGCCTGCGTGCAGAGCGCAGGGCACGACTGCAGAGTGGCGAGTTCATCTGTATTCACGAGTAATGAGTGATTTGACTTGAAAGGGGCTTTGGCAGGGCTTTAACAGCCGGGGGAGTCAGGGAAGGTCACAAGCAGGAGGGCGACCTCCTCATATCCGATCCTCAACATCTTCCTCCCACCAGCCCCACCCACCAGGCTGGCTACGACGACAGACACTGGCTCCTCCTGACTCTGGATCCAGACCAAGAATAAGGAACTTATTTCGCCAGTGGTTCTTACAAACTTTGCAGTGACTGGAGCTCCATCTTTTGCTGTCCATTTCTTTCTTTCTTTCTTTTTTTAAATGCTTAACATTAAAAAAAAACTATGACAAAATACACATAACATAGAATTTACCATCTTAATTTTTCCTTTTTTTTAACTTTTTTTTTAATTTCAGCATATTATGGGGTATAAATCTCAAGGTCTCAAATAAATTAGTGTGTAGCTCAGTGGCATTAAGTACACTCACGTTGTGCAACCATCACTCCTGCCCAACTCTAGAACTCTTTTCATCTTCCCAAACTAAAACTCTGTACATATCAAACAATTGTTCCCCACTTCTCGTCTCCCCCAGATCCTGACAACCACCATTCCGCTTTCTGTCTCTAGGAATGACTACTCCAGATATGCCACCTAAGTGGAATCATACAGTGTTTGCCATTTTGTAACATGCCTATTTCACTTAACATAATGTCCTCAAGGTTCTCCCACACTGTAACATGTATCAGAATTTCCTTCCTTTTTAAGGTTGGATAATATCCCATTGTGTGTACACACCACATTTTGCTTCTCCACTCATCCATTGATGGACAGACACCTGGTTTGCTTCTGCCTTTTGGCTATTGTGACTAATGCTGTTATATACGTGCATGTACAAATGTCTGTTGGAGTCCACGCTTTCAATTTTTTGGGAGCATACACCCAGAAGTGGAATTGCTGAATCATACGGTAATTCTACATTTAACCACTTTGGGACTGCACTCACCAGCCTGGAAACCTTGCCCACAGTCCGCATGATAGTTTGTGCTGTGTATTGATGACATATCCGTTTTGCTCTTGTGTGATGAGGAAAGCTTTAAAGCACTGAAATCTTGTTTTACTTTACAGGCAGCTTTACTTGTAATGTAAATATCAGAATAGGTAACATATACATATATGTTTTCATTATGTTATTTTTAAATGTTCACAATTTTATTTTGATAAATGAAAAATTAGAAAAGTCATATCACGGCTGTGGGCTAAAGTCGCTGTGTGCGTTCATCCGTGGCTATTGACTATAGTCGACGCTGGTCCCAAAGTGGTTAATTTTTTTTTAAGGAATCGTCGTATTGTTTTCCACAGTGGCTGCACCGTTTCACATTCCCACCCACAGTGCACAAGGGTTCCAGTTTGTCATTTTCTTGGTTTTTTGTTTTGCTTTTTGACAGTAGCCATCCTAATTGGTAGAAGGTGCTTGCTGTTCATTCCTTTTGAAAACTTGATGTAGTCATTGATTTAAAAAAAACCCCACACCTTGGGAAGTTGTGGGTCGTAATAAGCCTTGGCTGTTCATGAGAATAAACCAATAACACTAGTTCACCGAAGAGCAGCAGAAACCCCAAAAGGACAGCCGTGTGAAATTCTTTGCTCCTCTCCCTCCAAATAGCAAGCACTCCCTGACTCCAGAGAAAACGTTTCTGCGCACACCCCAGACTACCGAAACCAATGTGTGGAAATGCTTCTGCTGCGTTTTCAAGGTCTCCTTCCATTTTTGGCCTCTGGAAGAGGAGTTTTATTTTGCCTTCACAGTGGCACAGTAACAACCACATAGTTCAAAAATAGGTTTTCATGTGCATTTCTTTGTTGAATTTTGCACATTGAGTTTTTTTATATTCATGCATTCTTTTACAACGCCTAAATGTTTTCTTTGAAATGCGCACTGCATTGATTTGTAAATTAGTTTTCTATAATAAAATACCATTTGTGTAGGGAAAAAAAAATCTGTTTTTACAGTGGGTGTGTGGGGGGGACCGAGGGCAACGTGGGAGGGGGAGAGCCCTTGTGGAAGGTGCTGCGGGGCCTGCCTAGCGTGGGGCGTTGAGGGCCCACGGGGAGGAAGGCTGGAGACATTTGCGAGATGATCTGCAGGGCGAGGGGCCCAGTCACCGCCCAGGCCTGTGGGATGAGGAGGAGGCAGGAATGGCTCCCGTATTTCCGGCTTCCTGGAGAGTGAGTGGCGGAGAGTCGGGGAACGGAACCGACGGACTGGGCTGACTTCCGGTGTTGACTTCCGGTTTGCCCTCGCAAGGGAGGCAAGTCCGCCCAAGCTTCCGGTCATGCTCAGTAAGGCCGGAGTGCGGGTTTGCGGAAGTTTGGGCGGGGAAGGGAAGGTTGAGGGATGAGTTGTCGTGGGCCTTGGGGGTGGCCTTTGCATGTGAGCTTGACTCTCTGGGCTGGAGAGACAGGCGTGGGGTCAGGTTTAGGGACACGGCCACGGGGTCGCATTCTGTGGACACGATCATGGAGTGCTAGGTCTGAGGGGAGTTCGTCTGGTCGTTCCATGGTGCAGATGGCCAAGCCGAGTGCCGGCCCAAGGTCTCGCTAAGGGTTGGCAGGAGAACAGGAACCAGAACCGAGGTGTCCTGGCTGCTCGGAGGGAAGGCTGGTGACCTCTGGGTCCCTCAGCCCTCCCTGGGCTCTCCCACCTGTTCATCTCCTACCCCACCTCTGAGTGAGAACCTCCTGGGCTGAGGACCCGGCATCCTCTAATTTATAGTCAGGCTGACCTGAGTTCGAGTCCTGCCTCTCTTCATGCTGGGAGGCCCTGGGTGCCCTGGGTGCCCTGACTTCAGCATCCTCATGGGTCATGTGGGGACACTGAGGCCTCCATCCTGAGGTTGGCTGATTTAATGACACAAGGCATGTTAGAGGGCTGGTGGAGATTGCTTGGCACCTTGTGGGCACTCAGTAAACAGTTGTTGAGTCTGGACCATTTCAGAGTCAGCCTGGCCGTCATCTCCTTCAGGAAGCCTTCTCTGGTCCCTGCTCCCCTAATCACAAAAGGTCAGGTAAGATCCCCTTTCTCTGTGCCCCAGAGCACTACATTGTGCATACTAATTGTCTGTCTCTTTGAGCACAGGGGCTGTTATTATTTTGTAGTATAATTTAGGTTTGGTATCATAGAAATCCGAGTTCAAATCTTATCTCTGCCACTTCTTAATTGTAGTGTATGGAACAAGTTTCTGAGTATCTCTGAGCCTCAGTTTCCTCATCTGTGAAGGGCAAGTGGTATCAGTAGTACCTACCTCTTAGGGCCTTTGTGAGAATCAAATCAGCTAATACATAAACACAGTCCTTAGGATGATGTCCTGCACATGGTAAGTGTTCAATGAATGTTCGCTATTTATCAGATATTATTCACCACCACTGGCATTGTCAGTCATAGGCTTATTGGATTAGGAGTTAGAAGACCTGGGTTCTGGTGTCAGCTTTTTATTCTGTTGGTCTTTAGTGATTTTTTCGATATATCTGTGACTGCTTTAGGTAAATGCTTAGGTAATGAATGATTGGAAGTTTTCATATGAGGAGCTCTAGCTACCTCTTGTCCCTGTTTTTCATACTAGTGATGAATGTGTGTTTCTGGAGTGTCTGTGCGGGGAATAAGACCTTAAGGTGGGCTCTGTCTTCCCTCCTCCGACCACACCGGCCTCTCTTAGGGAGCCCATACTTGAGGTGGCACCTGCTCCCGGGCCGGGTTCCCATCTTCCTGCTTCCTGCCAGCCCACCCACTGAGGCCCTGTGTGTGCGCCCTTGGCCTGGGGCACACCCCCGACTCCTGTGGCCTTGTTCTCTGAGTGCACATATACATTTTAGAAATGTTTCTCTTAATCATATCTTGAATTAATGCAGGCCTCGTTCATTCCCAGCTCTCATTACCCTCTTAATTAACTCGGCACAGATGGAAAAAGTCGGAATTGCTCTAGCCGAGTTGTTCTGCTAGTTTTAAAATGAGATGGCAGATGGAAGGACGAGGTGGAACGGGCTGGCTTGGAGGGAGGAGATGAGTTTCCAAGCTGTCACCGGGGCGTCAACAAACGCTCCATCTGTCGGTGGTGAGGCTGGGCCGAGGCCCCTTGCAAGGGGCTGGCGTTCAGAGGGCCGACACGGGCCAAGGCTCAGAGGTCCTGGCCATCCCAGGTACCCTGGGGACATGGCCCCTGGCACCGCGAAGGACGCCAGGAGTTCTGGGGTCCTGCTGTGAGTGGAGACCTCTGTCCCAGGCCATGACGGAAACACCCATGCCCCACACTGCTGTTTGGGAGCCAAAGAAGGGTTTTATTTTCCTTCTTATCTAAAATAGTCTTAAGACTATTGCGTTGACTCCACATGGGTGTCAGAGTGAACTTTCTGAAAACACACGATCACTTTGCTGCTTGACCCGCTCCACTGGCCCCACCTCTGCCCACCCTCTGCTCCTGCCTGCCTCCAGCTGTGCTGACCTACTGTGGTCACTCCTGCCCCCCAGCCTTGGCCTTTGCTCTTCTTGCTGCTGGGGCTCTGTCCCTCCTTTTTACCCTTCGAGACCAGCTGTGTTGGGCACCCCCTAGGGAGTACTCTGCTTCTTGTGCTTCTCCTACCAACATGTTTTCCAAAATTCTCTTTGCTTGCGAATGAATTAGTCATTCTTCAGCGGCAGCTTGTGAAAGGGTGTTTGGTTTGTTTGGAGTTGTGTCTCAACCTGAAAATAGCATAGAACCTTAGAGTTGAAAAGGATCTTAAGAATCTTTTAGAATTCAGGCATCATCTATAGTACATCCTGGAGAAGTGGGTACTCAGCCCTGGCTTGCATACCCTCAGAGACAGGAAACTCACTACTCAGATAGCCACCCTATTGATGGACAGGTCTAATTGTCCCACTGTTCCCTGGGCTGGGTGGAGATCTGACTCCTTGTAATGTGCATGGGAATAAAATCTGCTCCCTCTGCCCCAGGGCAGTCCCTCAGGGGCCTGACTCATTGCCCAGGTCTTCCCTGAGTTTGCCACCCTCCTTGACAACACGGAAGGCAGAGCCCACTGACTGGTTGCTGATACTCCTGGCAAATGACAGGGACTTGGGATAACTGACCATTTCATCTTATGTCCCAGGTGTATGGAGTAGTAGACAGATTCGGACTTTGGAGTCAAACAGACCTGGCGTCAAACACCTGGTCTGCTGTTTACGAGCTGTGGGATGTCAGACAGATGCCTTAACCTCTCTGAGCCTTGGCTTGCTCATCTGTAAAATGGGGGTTGAGGTAGATGGTTGCTAAGGTCCCTTTTAGTTGTGACCTATGAAGTGCCAAGTTGGTTGTCTCCAAACTTTCTGCTTCTGAGGAACTTGTTGCTATTTCATCTGCCCTCCAGACCCTTGGCCCCTGCCCTGACCTTGTATCTCAGCCTCTGGTTTATTGCACGACACTTCAGCTCCCTTCATAAATTCAGTTCTGGCCAAGTCTGTCCCCTGCTCTGTCTTTATGGTTCCCATCAGCAGCTGGGTTGTTACCAGGCTCCCTAAAGTGGCCTTCAAGGCTCCAGTGTCAGGCCTTGGTAGTGTCTCCAGCTTCATAAGCTATAACTCTAGGCTTTCCACTTACCCTTTGGAGTTCTCCAAAGGTATTTTCTCTCCACACTTTACACACACTCTTACTTCTACCTGCAAATCCCTCTCCCTTGGCTGCTGTAGTTACAAACTCCTATTGATACTACAAAACCCCATTCAGGTGTCACCTTTTTAATTTGAAGCTTTTTCAGACCATTCTTTCCGTGTGAGACAAAGTTCATCCCTTCTCTGTACCCCTCTACAAGCACGATCACTGCATGAATCTGTGGCTGTCTTTCCTCTGGGAGGGTTTCGAGGCACTAGGGACAGGACCTGGCAGGCCGAGGTCCCCACCCTTGTGACCTGTGTCCCTGCGCTTCTGATCCTAGTCTCTTTCCTCACCTTTTCCAAGTGAAAATGACAGTGGTTCTTAATCAGAACTTCTTAATCACACCACGTTATCCTTCCGAGATGGCTTTTACCTCCAGGAACCCACTGATTCCCCACTCCAAATTACTATAATTACCACAAATGATAAAATAGCAGCTTTCCCAGTTTTCTTTACCCTTTCCAATTTGCATATGCTAATGCACTGACATCTCCCATCAGCCCCCTCCTGCTTGCTTTTTGGGGACATTTTCCGTAGTTTGTGTTCACTTGTCCCATACCAACTAGGACTGGATCAGGGCAAGGAAGAAAGAAGCCTCTAGAAGTTCCTAATCCACCCAAGAAATGGAAGAAATAAATTTCCTGTCATTTAAAACGTAGCAAAGACATTGAGGGAAATCTTTGCTGTTTGGGAGGAGGCAGGGAGGCGGGAAGCAAAGGGCACTGTGGAAATGAGAGGTGAGAGACCTGGGTTCAAGTTGCTGCCTCCAGCTGCCGTGGCCTGGTCCATGCCCCCGTTTCTGAACCTCACATCCCTCTTCTGGAAACTGCAGAGCTTATACTCACTTGGCAGTTTGTAATGAGAAAGAAATAATGGATTTTTTTTTTAATTTAAAAATTATGGTGAAGTACACATAACATAAAATTTACCACCTTTCCCACTTTTCAGTGTATAGTTCAGTGGCATAAAGGATGCTGCTGTGAGACCATCACCACCACCCATCTCCAGAACTGTTTCATCTTGCAAAACTGAAATGCTACCATTGGACCATAACTTCCCAGTCCTCCCTCCCCACCAGTGCCTGGCAAATTGCCATTCAACTTTCTATGAATTCTCTATGAATTCAACCACTCCAGGTGCCATAGGTAAGTGGAACCATAGAGTATTTGTCTTTTTCATAACTGACTATTTCACTTAGTACTATGTCTGAAAGGTTCATCCATGTTATGGTCTATGTCAAAATTTCCTTCTGCTTTAGGCTGCATAATATTCCACTGTCAGTATGTACCTAACTTTGCATATCCATTTGTCCATCTGTGAACATTTGAGTTGCTATTAATGGAAGTACAAACTTACCTGTTAAAATATCTTCTAAAATGTACAGACCAGCACAATTTAGGAGGCAGAGGTGGTCAGGACAGTGAACTTTGGTGTTGTACATGACTTTGAGTCCTGGCTGGGTATCCTCGAGCTCTGTGCCTCTGTGTCTCTGTGCCTATCTTGTGGGGCTGTCCTGAGGTCAGCATTCATTCTTTTAGTTATTTATTCATTCAACACATCTTTACTGAGCATGTACTATGTTCCAGGATCTGAGCTTGTGCTCAGGGTAGAACAGTGAGTTCTAGGGTAGAACAGTGAGTTCCAGCTCAGGGTAGAACAGTGCAGAATGCCTGACAGCAAGAAGGCAAGACAGGCCATAACCAGGTAAATGAGAGAATACATTTTATGTCCGATGGTGATAAGTTCTATGGAGAGAAACCGAGTAGATTAAGAAGGATGGTGAGTGCTTGGGGGGATGGCGCTATGAGACACAGGGTGAGTGGAGCGGTCTCCTGGGGACATGAGAGCTGCATAGTGAGCCTGTAAGGAAATCGAAAAGGCAAATGCCATGAAGTGAAAGCATGCCTGGAATGTTCTAGGAGCAAGAACACGTCTGGTGTGGCTGGAGAAACTTGTGATAGACAGTAGCTGGAGCTAAGGGCAGCGAGGTGGTTGGGGGCGGGGTGGGGTGGGGGTGGTCAGTCCTGCAGGGTCAGGTGAGGCGCGTGAGTGAGCCCGGTGGGCACTGAAGGATTCTAAGTGGGGACGTGCTGGGGTCTCACTCGTATTTTAAAAGCATTGCTCTGCCTGCTGGGTTGAGAATCGGCTATGGTGGGGACGAGGGTTGGGGTAGAAGGACCTATGATTGTAATAACCCAGGCCAGGGATTGGCAAACGCTTTCTGTAGAGGACCAGATAGGAAACATTTTCAGCTTTGAGAGCTGTGTGGTATGTGTTGCAATTACTCAGTTCTGCCTTCAGAATGTAAAAGTAGCCACAGACAACATGTAAACAAATGGACATAGCTGTGTCCTGATACAACTTTATTTACAAAAATAGTTGGAGGGCTGTTTCTGGCTAATCCTGCTCTGAGAAAGATGGCGGTGGGTTGAACCAGGGTGTGGTAATGGGGTTGTGAGAAGTGATTGAAAAAGATACTTTGAAAGTAGGTATATCAACAGAATTTGTGTCGAATTGGAGGCAACAGGTGAGAAAGAGAGAAATCAAGAATGACTTTAAGTTTTATGACCTGAGCAAAATAAGGTTAGAGATGCCAATTCCTGAGATGAGGGAGTCTATGGATACAACAGGATATATATTTTTTAAGGTGTGGGGAGAATTAGGCATTTGTTTCTTTGTTTGTTAGGACCTATCAGGTTTGAGATGCCTCTTAGATAGCCAAGCAGATGTATGAGCCTGGAGTCTGCAGAGAGGTTGAGGATGCAGGTAGGAATTTTGGAGTCGTCAGCATCTATACGGGATTTGAAGATGTGAAATTTGGAGACCTGAGAGCATGTAGGGAAGGAGGGTGGATAGGGAAGAGAAGGCCTGCGAGGGCTGGGCCCTGGGGTACTCAGAGAAATGAGGAGCCGCCAGCGAAGAGATTGAGAGGGAGAGGTCACTGGGGTGGAGGAAGGCCAGGAGACTGTGGATCTTGGGAGCCACGAGAAGGAAGTGTTTCCAAGAGGGAATAATCAACTGCACTAATGTTGCTGCAGTGGGTTGAATAGTGAAATTCACGTCTGCCAGGAACCTTAGAAGTTGGGTCTTTGCAGATGTAACTACTTAAGCGGAGGTCGTGCCAGCTTAGGGTGGGCCCTAACTCCAGTGACTATTTTCCTTATGGGAAGAAGAGAGGACATACAGAGACACAAAGGGAAGAAGGAGGCCATGTGAGGACGGAGGCAGGCGGGGAGACGGGAGTGATGCAGCTCAAACGGACAAATCCCAAGGGAGACCAGGAGCTACTGGAAGCTGAAAGATGCCAGGAAAGAGTCTTCTCTGGAGGCTTCCGAGGGAGCATGGCCCTGTTGACACCTTGATTATGGACCTCTAGCCTCTGGGACTGTTATAAATAAATTTCTTATGTCTGAAACCACCTAGTTTGGGATACTTTGTTACCACAGCCCTAAGGAACTAAGTATGCATTGCTGATGGGTTGAGTAAGATCAGGACTGCAAAAGACTGTGGATTTGGTGATGTTGGGAGTGGAGAGGGTCATAGGTGACCTTGACAAGAACTGTTTTCAGTAAAATGAGTGGAAGCGTGCAGTCTGATTAGAGTGGGTTCAAGGGAGAATGGGAGGAAAGGCACTGGAGACCGAGGATGAGCCATGCTTTTATTTTAAAGGGGAGGAAAATGGGCAGCAGCTAGAGAGGAATGGGAGACATGACACTCATCTGGCAGTGCTAGAAAGGAGCCAGCAGAGAGGTGAGAGACAGTGATCTGGGAGAGGGGACCGTGGCTGGTGTCCCTGGGGACGGGATCAGTGGGTGTGTGCAGAGGCTGATGCTTGGGAGGTCGCCCGAGGGACCAGGAGGGAAGGGAGTGCCAGTGCGAGGGAGTGGGCGTGTTGGCGGATGTGGCGGAGGGACTGTGACAGTTCCATTCTGATTGCTCCTGTTGTCTTCCTGAAATAGGAATGCAGGGTGTCAGCGGGGGCTGAGGCTGCGGAGGAGGCAGTGGAGGTGGGAGATGGGAGAAGCAGTGAAATGGCCATTTGGGAGGACGGGGAGGGGTCCTTTTGGGGAAGTGTAGCTGGCTGGTGGGGAGGCCTGAGGCCCACCTGAGCTTCACGTGGCTGTGAACCAAAGTCGGCAATGTGGGCAGGGTTGTGTGTTTCCCTCTCGCCACACTCAGCTGCTGGGGCCAGGCTGGTAGCAGGTGTTGAGCTGGACTGGGCCAGCGAGTGTAACGAAGCAGGAAAGGAATGAGGGAGCTGAGGGTCCTATAACATGTGTAGCAAACCATGTGTAACAAACGTGTAACAAACCACCCCCAGACTTGGTGGCTTAGAACAACAATATCAGTTCATTTTTGTTGTGACTCTTCAATTTTTGGCAGAGTTTTGTTAGGGACAGCGTGTCTCTGCTCAGCGGGATGGCGTGGCTGGGGACTGGAGGGTCTACTTTTCAGATGATGTAGTAGGCTGATGATGGCCCTCAACGACAGGAGGTCTTAGTCTCTGGAACCTGTAAGTGTTACCTTATTTGGAGAAGGGGGTCTTTGCAGATGTGATTAAGTTAAGGACCTTGAGATGGAGAGGTTATCCTGGGCTATCCGTGTGGGCCCAAATGCAATCACAAGTGTCCTTATACGAGAGAAGCAGGAGGAGATGTGACATGCAGAAGAAGTGGAGGCAGTGTGACCACGGGAAGGGATCAGAGTCACGGTCATGCAGCTACAAGCCCAGGGATGCCCGGAGGACCAGCAGCTGGAAGATGATGTGAAGAATGGATTCTCCTCTGGTCTCCCAAGGAGTGTGGGCCTGTGACACCTGCCTTTTGGACTTTGAGCCTCCAGAACTCCGAGAGAATAAATTTCTGCTGTTTTAATCCCCCCAGTTTGTGGTGATTTGTTGCAGCAGCCATAGGGGACTGTTGCAGATGGTGAATCCCATGCTGGCTAGTTGGTCCCGCCTGTCATCCGTGAGCTGGTGCTGAGCGCTGAGGCCTTTATGCCTCTCTGTGTGGGCGTGGTGGCTGGGCTCCAAGAGCAAGTGTCCCACAGGAACTAGGTGGATGCTCTTGCCTTTTACGGCGTGCCTTGGCATCACTTCCAGGATCAAGGAGGGGAAACACAGACTCGGCTCTTGATGGGAGGGATGTCAAAATCCCGCAAGAAGTGCACGTGAGATGCACATGCATGGGAAGTACATGTGAGATGGGAGAGATTGCTGTGGACAGTTTTTAGAATACAGAGCTTGCCACCAGGGTAACGTAAGATGATGATGGTGGTGGTGGTGGTGGTGATGGACTGTGACCTCTTAGTTGGTCAAAGAGCGGAGTGAGGACATGAAGGGCAGTGAGAAGGTGGCCGAATCAGTGGACCTCAGGACCCAGGGAGGGGGAAGAATCATTGACCTCCAGGTGAGCAGAGGTCAGAGAGAGGGACTCTTGAAACTGAGTTTATGGGGTGAAAACAGATACTGTAATGACAAGGTGCACAGTATGACATGGCAGTGGGTGACTGAGGTGTGGCTTCTGAAGGAGAGGAATTTGGAGAATGACAGACCAGGGGGGACACCTACGTAGATACTGAAGCCAAGTCTGTGCTGGAAAGAGCACCACGAGCCAGGCGTGAGAATCCTTGGGAGTCAAGGGTCCACGACCTCCTGTAGGTCTGAAAATGACCATGAAAAGCATAAAAAGGAGGGGATGATTGTTGCCCTAATGGGATGTGACCAGCTGCAAAGCTGGAGGTCTTTGGGGACGGGGAAGCATCAGAGAAGAGCAGTGAGGAGCAGTATGAGTGACAGCAGGAATGAGGGGGAGAAAACAGGTTCCCTTCAGGGAGCTGCAGGAGTGGAAGGTCAGTGCAGAAGTGTAGTTGGAGGTAGAAAGGATCGCAGAGGGCAGGGTGGGAGCTTTTGGGGAATTGGAGCGGTGACGATACAGAGCTTGATGAGAATGAGAACCCTGAAAGGGGCCATGTCCTGGGAACCCCAGCTTCTTGAGGTGACTGATGTGAACCATGACTCAGGCATGATTGGATTAGGTTTGGGAGTCTCATGGTGGACCTCAGTGGTGCATCTGGGCTCTGAGGGCTGGAGGGAGGAGGGGACAAGGAGTAGGACCTCGCCAGGAATCCCAGAGCTTGGGGCTCC